CTAGGGTGTTATTTGGCATCAAACGGATAAGAGTAGCAATGCAAAACAAAATGCGGCGGACGGCAATAATGACCACTCATCCTCACCTCCAAAACAGCCTTCCATCTCATGCCTCCCCTTCTCCTCCTCCTTCGTTTCCCTTCCCCTAGTTAGGCACGAGAAGTGGATCCGCCTGATGTGGAAGAAAGATATGCACTGCGGGTGATGCTCGAGGGGCTATGGAACCCACTTTTTTCTCTTGTTCCCCTTCTCAACAGTACTTTGGGCTTAGCTGAGCAGATTCATTGCTGGCACCGCGTTCGGACTGATTTTCCGCCTCCAGTCTGAACGTGCATCTCACCCTTTGCTATCCAGCATTACGTCATTGCATTCAGATATCGCAATACCTCCAACGTTGGCTGATCTTTGGCTTGCGTGTGCATTTGTCAGTAAAATGACACAAGTAAATGCAACGAAAACACTTGTGCTGCCTTTCCACCTCTGCTTTGCAATTCATATAGCGTGTCCCTCGTTTTCGCCTCTTGTTGTGGTGTTAAGTTGATGAGTTTGTGCAGAATGTTGGCGAGCGGTGTGCAGTTCGTCAAGTCTTGCTTCACACATGCGAAGCATGAATGTTTTGTGAGAAAGTGGTTGGAGGTTGAATGATGCCAAAGGGCATCACCAAACACCAAACGGCGTGATGACTATAGCACTTTCGATTCTCATCTACGGTGTCTATTTGTGCTTGGCGTTGGTTGAATTATGCTGCTGGAGAATGACTGGCATAGGACTGAGGGAATGCAGTGATTATCTGTTGGAGGGACGCGAGGCGTTGAAGTCGGAAGCTGCACTTATTGAGTTGTCATGGGTGTGTGGTCTGCTATTGAAAGGCGTCAAATGGGGCTCGCATTTGTGGTATACAATGCACTGGGAGTCTGAGTGGGACAATTGCGGTGATGTGTGGAATAAGTTTGGCCGTTGGAAGGCGGGGCTGCACTCCTAAATGTGAATCATCGTCGAGTTGCGCTGGCATTCCATTCCATTCCATTCCATTCTCTATCGTCCTCTTCCATTCCTCGAAACATCAAACTCCCATGTCCCGCCTTACCACATCCACCTCTCCCCCATCACACGTTTCGCATCCTCCTCCTCATTCCTCTCGCATGCACACACAAGCACATCCTCCAACTCCCCTCCAGCCTCCTCTTCAACTCCGCCATTACTATCACTACTACCTCTTCACGTCTTCGACCTGTGCTGTTGCCTTCCTCCTTCCTGTGCCCCAATTCAAGTGCCGACTGACGAGCACCAACACCATCACAGTGGTGCTAAGGTTGGTAAGGCGACCCCTAACACTTCCTTACCACCCAGCCATTGAGCCTTCACAGTCGATTGCGGACCTCGTAAAAGACAAGTGCCTTTTCAGCACGACGGTGACTCGAGCACACCAAGGCTGTAAATGTGGAGAGGTAAAGAGGACGACAGGGAAGCAGGAAGGAAGAAACACCTCGCTAAGGATGGGGCGACAATACATTTCGACGCAGCACTACTCCCACGCTCTCACTTCCTCTAGACGATGACGCCGTCTCCCAGCACTCGTCACTCTCTCTCTTGCCACACCTCCACTTTGTGCACCTTCCAGCATTACACTACCTTCACTTCTCACCATTTCGATTTAACGTCGCCTTCGCGACGCAGTGAACACGAAGCTCCCTCCTTCATGGCACACTGGAGTCGCTGTCGTACTCACACTGTCAACGCCATTACCACGTGCATTGTCGCAACAGCACTGCCACACTTCTTCCTCCTCCCAACACTCTTCGCATTACGCCAACATACTTGTCTGATTGCTTTCATCTTCATTGCGTCCGCTTCCCCATCGACACCACCTCCTCTGCCTCATCAAACAGACGCCAGTACCACCTAGCAATGGCGACTTGCAGCACACACCCTCCTCCTTACCGTCACCTCATCACACTTACACACATCAGAGGCGATGCGGACATCGACACGGTGCAACATCACACCTCCCAGACGGCACTACAACCATTTCTCCTCCAACGCATCAAGAGATAACATTTCACAATCACCCTCACCTCCCACCATGATGCGACTGCAATAAACATCTGCCCAAATTGACAGATAATTCGACTGCACTTCAGTAGCACATTACATTCCCTCCACACTGCCTTCACCCACTCACTCAATCACGTCGTTGTGTGAGAGGTAACAAGGGGGACGCTGGTATTTAGGGCAGTAAGTGTTTCATGTCAAATAAAATGAAGGTCCTGTGATAGGTTCCATTTTCTCAGCACACAACACACTACACACTGGACTACAATTGGCCTTGGGAAACTGTCGTCCTTACGGGATGCAGAGTCTTTAAACTCACCATAAGGCACGC